GCCCCAACTAGAATAGAAGCCAAGACTTGTTATGAAAAACCAAGACCACTTTTAGATTTCTATCAGCCTTTCTGGGTAAATTCAGATGTCAGGCGAAAAGTGCACTTGTAAGGATGCAGTGACAGGGAAAGGCATATAGTATGAAACTTAATGATCAGGAAAGGCCACAAGCCCTTACCATTTTTTGGATCAAAATTTGGAAACCCAGTCTTAGGAGTTGCAAACTTTGAGGTGTAACTGACATTGCTCTGATGCTGGGAAAACAGGCTTATATTGCCCAATTTCTTAGTAGTATGATTGGGAAGATCTAGTACGGAGCCTAAATTTCTAAATCCTATTAATGCCAGAAGGCTGGTTGCTGAAGTTATCATCAAGATTTATTAAGGATCTGTATGGTTGAGGCGATACAATACTTTTATGTAAAGTAATTTTTGCTCATACTTCATGATAAACTCCTTTCAGTACTTAACCTCTTCAATCCTGAAGCAGCTGTCTGTAGTCTCTCAAATCATTCTTTTAGCTACCCTTTTATTTTGATTAAATTTAGGGAAAAGAGCTTTTAATTTTTTTTATTATGTTATGTTAATCACCATACTTCACATCATTAGTTTTTGAGGGAAAAGAGCTTTTAGTAGGTCTCAGTTTTCATTGACGACCTGTAACTCCCAGTTAAGGAAGGCATGGCTCTGTGCCCAAAACAAAATCATGAAAAAACTGACAAGACTTCAGGATTGAATTTATGGAGAGATTCTAGGGGGTCATTTTACTTTAAGAAAAATTAAGACTACTATGTTGAGTCGATTAGAGAAACCTGTGTGTAAGTTGATTTGCTAACCAAACACAGGTATTTTCTGTGTGCTGAACTCGTTACTGAGTATTGTGGAAGATGGGAAGAAAAAATGCTTCCCACTTCATCCATCTTGCATATTATTGTGAGACTTTTAATTCCAAGGTGTAGGTTTTTCCCTAGTTCGTAGCACAAAACTGCATTACTCTAATGTAAACAAAGTCAAATTTCATACTTTGCCAATTGTATTAGCTATTTATTCCTGTGTAATAAATTTCTTTCAAATTTAGCAACTTAAAGGAACAGACATTTGTTAATTCTGAGAGTCAGGAGTGGATAGGCTTAGCTGGGTGGTTCTGGCTCAGGGTTTCATGAGGTTGCAGTGAAAAAGTTGGCCAGCACTGCAGTCATCTGAAGACTTGACTGGGGCTAGAAGTGTGTTTCCAAGATGGTTTACTTATTGTAGCTCTTGGCAGGATCCTTCAGTTACTCACCAAGTCAATATTTGTTTGTGTGTCCTCATAACATAGCAGCTATTTCCCCTCAGAGCAAGTGATTTGAGAGAGCAAGGAAGAAGCCGCAAAGTCTTTTTATGACCTAAAATATTTGCTTATTTTTTATTCTTCCTATGTTTTCTTTTTTCTTTTTTTTTTTTAAAGATTTTTATTTATTTATTTGACAGAGATAGACACAGCAAGAGCAGGAACACAAGCAGGGGGAGTGGGAGAGGGAGAAGCAGGCTTCCCGCGGAGCAGGGAGCCCGATGCGGGGCTCTCATGACCCGAGCCGAAGGCAGACGCTTAATGACTGAGCCACCCAGGCGCCCCTATTCTTCCTATGTTTTCATTTAGTGGATGAGTTTTTCCTGTTTTTCTTTTCATTCATACCCAGTTACACAATAATTCCTTCAGATTTTGTTCACCTAAGGCCACCTTTCAAAGCCCGTCAGAATGCCACAGTAAATCCTGGCTTTAATTTCTTTTTCCTTTTAATTCCCATAGATGTATTTTTGTTCTTTTCCTCCCTGCTTATGGCTCTGTTCTGTCGGTGGTGGGATGTAGAATATCTCTACATCTGTATACAGAGC